TAACAAGTAATGGTGACATAAATGCAAATTATTAAATCAAATATTAAAGGACACTTTTGAAGACATGGGGACACTTTGAGGTCATATTAATTTGTTATATTCATTAACAATTAATGGTGACATAAATGCAAATTATTGAACTAAAACTATTGAGGGACACTTTTGAAGACATGGATACACTTTTGAGGTCATATTAATTTGTTATATTCATTAACAAGTAATGGTGACATAAATGCAAATTATTAAATTATATATATTAAAGGACACTTTTGAAGACATGGGGACACTTTTGAGGTCATATTAATTTGTTATATTCATTAACAAGTAATGGTGACATAAATGCAAATTATTAAATTATAAATATTAAAGGACACTTTTGAAGCCATATTAATTTGTTATATTTAAGAACAACTAAGGGCGGCATAATTGCTAATTATTAAAATAAACTATTAAGGGACACTTTTGAAGTCATTCTCAGGGCCACCCAACTCCTGCAAAATGAGATGAGTGGTACCAATAAAATGTATGAGAAAAAGATTGAGCAAGTGTAAGTGTTATTATTTTTATTGCAAATTACAACTTTTATTCAAAATTTTTTCACAGCACATGGTTGTTACAGTGGCATGAATGAACTAATACATTGTTCTCAAAACTTGACAAACTCTGTGGATGGTACATGTAACGCTAATGTTTGTTCCAATCCTGCAGTTTAGTTACTAGAATTATAATCTTATAATTCAACCACTCAAAATGCATTTCTCAAAAGATAATTAATGTTGTTCTTCTATTAATTCTATCACTCCCAAAAACAATTATTTTTTCATGGATTGTGGTAATGTCTGATGAAGCTATTGAAGTCTGGCTTTTCCCACCTGATGACAAAACAGAGATAATTTTGTTAATGCATTCTCTCAAGTGTTGGTATAAGATACAATAGAATTCAAGCAGATTTGAATTTACATGTAGTTACCTTATCTTTTTAGCATCTCTGTTTGCTGGCAAAGCTCATCGGCTGTTTTTAATGATATACCCATCTTTCTTGCCACTAGAAATGCTATTGCTTCTTTAAGCAAGAAATCTTGCACAAATCTGGTTGCAAAACTGTAAATAAGGCAGTAACATCTATTATAAATACATAGGTACGTTTTATGAAAAATAACATAGTGAAACTATTATAATCTTCCCTGTGGTATAGTATGAATGATATAAGTATATTATAATCAACATGCATTGAACACCTTGCAACATGTAATAAATTTTTGCTTAATAAACATTTTCCTTACTCTAAACCTGGGCTAAAATAAAAAAGTAACTCATTACATTGGTGAATCAATCATTACAATTTGGGGGGGGGGGTGTACACAAAAATCTTGCACACCTCAAAAATATTGAAAAATAAAATAGTACATGTATCATAAATATATCGCGTAACAAGCAGTAGCACAAACAAGAATACAGTTTCAAATAAAAAAAAAGAAATACATATCACCCCAAATGTGAACATTTACAAGAGTATGCAATGACAAAACACAATTTTACACTGGGAGACACTATCAGAAATTTTCATTGGCAAGTTTACAATCAACTTGCAAAATGATACATTGATGCTTGGATATAATAGTTAATAAGCTAGCATTGGATAAATGATGCATATTATACAAAACTAAATACCTTTCCGTCATTCTCTTCAGCAAAATATATTTTTCTCTCCAGTTGAAGGAGGAGTTGTTCTGAACCCTGAAACAAAAGAATAGCTTTTTCAAATATCTTTATACACATATTGGGGAGAAGGCATTGAAAAAAAGATCTCTGAGGTTCTTTATAGATCTTGCTTCCTACATACAATTTTCTTTTCAAACGTTTTTTGTAATTTCCACACAAGACACTTTCCAATCAATCATGCATACATGCCCCATTGTAGTAACAGGCAGAATAATTTTACTAATCATATTTCATAACAGTTGTCACATATTCTTACTGGTATTTGTATGCAGTCACTGCCATAACCATACAAAATTAAGGGTTTCCTTTTACAATATGTTGAATTGAACACTGTACTTTTTTATAAAGTCTTTGTGCCTAATTAGGTGATTTTGCAATTTGTATGTAATTTGTAGAAGGATTTAGCAACAAGTCATTGTCAATGACACGTCCCCGTTCCGTTCATATTTGAGTGACATATACATTCAAAGCAGATCATGACCGAAATGCACCTGCATATGTACAACACATTGTACTAAATCTGAACAAAATCCATCCATGCATGACTGAGATCTGGTTCCGGAATTGTGAAAATACGTGATTTTAATACATTTTCGATCTTAAAATGGCCATCATTCAGCTATTGTTAAGCGGATCATGAAACAAATGCACATATCTATTTGTGACATGATGCACCATGTGTGTGTGAAGTTTGAACTTGATCAATCCAGACATGTCTCGGATACGGATCCAGAACTGAATTCTTTAAAACAAAATGGCCGCCAGTCGGCCATTTCGAACTTGATCCGAAAAAAAAAATGACGTGCATCAAGGTCCTATTATGTTTAATGTATGTACCAAATTTGAACGAAATCCGTCCATGCATAACTGAGATCCGGGTCC